ACTCCTTTCTGGTGAATTGAGCAAACAGTAATTTTTATTTACTTTGCTCGTTTGGTTCAACGTTTGAGGGTTCGTTTGGTTATTATTGCTTCAGTCTATGCGTGTCTCTATTCAAAGTCTCTGGGAAAGACTAGTCAGTAGATGATCGATGTGCAAATGCAAAATACCCCGCGACAAGCAGTGAGTGGTGAGATGTTGGTAGGTTATATGACTAGTTTTTTTTTCAATGTTGAGTTTATCATTGATTATTATTAAAAAATGAATCTTTCGTTGCATCCTGAACGAGTTAAACTCCCGGCCAAATTTTGATTTTTCTGTACGTGGTGCCGAGGCTCTGAGAGGGTCGCGTTGGTCCTCTTTATGCCAGGGCCGTCTATTCATCGTGTCGATCAAGGGTTGAACAGATCATTCGGATGAGGTCCTTTCCATTTATTTGTTTATATTTTATTCAATCTTTAACAAATAACGGCTCAGAAAAAAAAATTAGAAGCTCGGCTTGATGGCTTTCGCTTTTGATTACTGAATAGAAGATCGTCGATTTAAGACGTGTTGATCGGAAATCTATAACAAATCATTTTGAAGAGTAGCTTTTATCGTCATCGGTGAGGTCGCCCCTGGAACCGAAATTTAGCGTTAGCGTTAGCGTTAGCGTTAGCGTTAGCGTTAGCGAAATTTAGTAACAGTAAGTTGAACGGGAACTTTATCGTAATTGTTTTGTGATATAAGGTGCTCGGTGGCTAGATTTTGCTTACTGAGCAATAAATCATGGGTTCAACCCCAAGCTTCTCATATTATAGGATTATACTTTAAATTGGCTTTCTTTCATAATATGATAAGCCGATGTAATTAATCCGTTGGAGGGACAGGTACGTAAAAGAAGCAATATTTAAGTTTTGAGAATGACGTGTTACCGCCGGGATAGAAACATAGTAACAATAAGTTGAACGGAAACATGATCGTAATTGATTGCAATTTTGCTTACTGAGCAGAAGACTGTGGTTTCAAACTCAAGCTCATGCATGATCCACATAGACACTTTGAATCTGATTGGACATATTTCGATACTACAGACATTATTGCAGTCCTGGTTGATCTAGTACAACAAATCAACTGATATCCTGGACGATTTGGAAAACCTATAATTTCCGGTATACACAGTAATGAGTCGTGCATGATCCACAAAGTCACATTTATACGATTCGGTTATAATTTGACAACGAAAAAAGCTAGGTTCATATTAGAAATAAAAAAAATATCATGAAAGTGTCTCACCATTGGGCAAAACCCAAGGAATATCCGTGTAAATACACAACCGCGACGTGAACAACAAGCGTGACTTATGAAACTTTGGTAATTTCTCGATTATGTGCAGGGTGTTTGGTTTGAATCGGTAAAAAATTGAGAAAACCAGAGCCAAATTAACTACAACATTTAGAACAGCAAAATTCGTCTCTGGTTAATTTTCAAGAAAATTTGCATTTCAAATATAATTAAATGCATTAGGGTAGGTGTACCAGTTATGGCCATACGTTCCTATTATGGTGTGTTCCAGTTATGGCCTATGGAATTCCCATAGGCCATAATTGGAACACATCATAATAGGACCGTATAGCCATAACTGGTACATCTACCCTAATTTTTTTAATAATGTTTCATCCAATCTAGGCCGGTATTATTCAATAGAATCTCATAATGTAAGGGTGTTTTATTATGTTCACTAATTACTCAGAATTTATACTATACATAAATAACTAAAGATAATACAATGTTATTCTTTTTTTTTATTCAAAAGTTACAAACTACACACTTAATTCAGATCACCGAAGTCGGTAGGAATTTACCGGGTTTTTGAACAGCAGAACAACTCGGTTAAATTTTCAAATGACCGTTACACGTGAGAAATCAAGAAATTTTATAAATTTTATTTTTCTTCAATAAATGGGGTAAACTGAACAACTTCTGTACAAGTTCGGGATTAATTTTTTAATAGTTGGATTTTTCACTGATTTTTAAACATTTACCGAACAGTTCTGTAGTTCAAAATTTACCGAACGACGGAGGCCTGGATTAGTGTGTATACTACTTTAGCTCAGTCGGTAAAGGCGCAGCTACAAAGCAAGTCCATGCTGGAGGCGACTGAGTTCTATTCCCGTCCGGTCTATTAATTTTTCGGGTTGAAAAATTTCTCGCGGATTTCGCGGATCAAATTTAGAAAATCGTGTAACAGCCCTGATTAATCATTGACGTAATACAACATATTTCAGTTTTTACACATTGAGGATGATAGCTAGTCCCATGCAACCTCTATTGGTTCTCTGTGTAATTACATTCGATCTGGCAATAACGGAGTATTTGCATATATTCTAATAAAAAAAGTTAGTGTCTACATAAAAGTTGTACAGCACACTAAAACAAGCAACTTTGTCGAAAACAGAAACTTTGACGAGATATGATGCATTGTTTTTGGAAAGCTCTTCAAAATCAGTTTTTCGCCAATAATTTTGCACATAATTATTTTATTTCTTTCAAATGTTCTACAAAGTTACTCATTATATCAAAATACTTATTTTTGCTGAAGCCTGTGTATCGCTATGACGCATATTTGAAAAGGCAATTTGTGACAGATCAAAAAACTTTCAGGGGAAAATGCTAGCTTTTGGCTAAAAAATGCAAAACGTTTTATTAGGAGATCTTCGGAGGAACTTCGGAATAGGAGTTATAACCAGTGCTGTAAATTCTCAAAATCAATTGAATATATTTGATGAAAATGAGAAAAGCAGTTATCCGCTATCAAAGAGACCTTATTCGAATGGATGATATCAGTTAGCTTAGTCATTTGTCGAAAACATGACTCATTCTCATTTGAGAAACGCTTGATATCATTCAATCGAGTGTAACCTAACATATACGGAGCACTGATCGACATTCCGGCGAAAAAGCAAAGTCAACCCGACACCAACCTGACTACTATCAGACCAAAAGCCGACAATTACACGACTTTGGGTTGATATCGACCTTAAATCGGCCAGACTTTTATCCGACATCAGGACGTCATGTCTGTTTGGGTCGATAGTTCAGAGATTTTTAAATTCTCCACTGCCGTATATTAATTAATAGTGAGTGACGACGACGAGAAAACACGTTGCGCAGAATTGATTGAATGATTGTATTGGTTCATCTTCAATCGTATGGTATGAAAATAACCAGCATATGTTATAACAAATGTCCCCGGGAACATGACCATGAGCATGATTTACCGCCCACGGCTGCAAAGCTGTTATTGCCATATCAGCTGTAATTATACAGAGAACCAATATACGATGCCTGGGACTAGCAATCATCCTTAATGTGTAAAAACTGGTGATCAAACTAGGAAATACCAGCGTCGGCCGTGTCCGAACGGTAGGAATGTGTTGACGTGACACTCGCTTTGATGGAAGCCGAGAACACCTCTGCACTTCCACGAGAAATCACTGGGATATCAATATGAAAAGACCTGGGACCGAGTTTTTCTGCTCAGTAAGCAAGCCACTGCAACAGACGATCTATTAAATCCGAAAACTAAAAGCTACTTAATATAATTTGATAAGTTCTTTAGTAGGAATGACACTGATGAAGACTACACATTGTAGTCGAAATACGTATCTGTCATGGATACCAAATTTAATTAAGATAACCCTTTTTTGCTGTTTTATTCAAAAGTATATTAAAATTTTTCTCGTGATGCATCTGGAATTATTCTCGGAAATCACATAAAACTCTACTCAAAACTCCTTTGGAATTGTTCCCTCAAAATACGGTCTCGCTGGTATTTAAGGAATTCTCATGTGACACTTTTTAGAATTCACTTGACTCTATCTTTCGAATTTTCTAAGAATGCAATAGGCCTCGGATTCTCCTTTGAATTCTCATTACAAATCTTTTAAAATTCTTCTCAGAACATTCGTTAGAAATAAACCTGGAATCCCTTTCACAACCGTCATGCAATTTCACATAGAACTACCTAAAGGTTCTACTCAGAAGAACGCACACAATTGACTTGGAATTCTAAGCAATAAGCAATAATCCCTTATCTAAACTGCGCTTCAGTCTTAAACCAGGTTTACCTGGGGCCTCATTGGGGCGTAAACGGAGAAACCTCTTAGTCTACTAAAGTCCCTTTAAAAATTCCTTCCCTAAAATTTTCTCTTGTGCTCTCACGTGCTGTTATTTCCACATGTTTTTAGTTCGGAATAATGGCGATCGGATTAGGGACATGCAGGGTAATGTCATAGAGCTTAAAATAATTATCATATAAAAGAAAACCTTAAACTTTTATGTTGCTCCATATCTATTATGGTTGTTTCAGTCGTGCAACTATTGAAACGATTAAAATACAATTGACCCAAATTAAAAGGGTAAAGTGGGGCAAGATGGGTCAGCTAGTGAATTTATTAATTTGTTTACTTTTTAAAACCGCATTGGGGCTACATTGAGTCTGTTGATGTTGACAATAAAAAATCAGGTAGATGACCCATCATGCTCCAACTTACCATATTCGATAATTTTCGGCTGTGAGGAACATCTGTTGTCCTGGCTTCTTTTTCAAAAAATAATTGTTTTATATTTTAAAATATTTTCATAATGCATTAAAGAACAAATAATTCTTTTCAATAATATTTTTTCAATGTTTGAGTTGACGCCAAACGCCAATCAAAATTAATAAAATGAGCCTTTATCTTTAAACACATTTCTGCTGGCACAATTTCCCATGTGTATATGAAACTCCATAGAACATTGGACAATTATGTGATTGATATACACAAGAGACTCGAAGACATAAATGCCAGCCAAGGAAACGACTCGGTGGTAATCAATAAGCGTTCTAAAATTTATAATCTAAATTGCAGTTTGCGATGGTGAAGGGTAGGCTAAATAATTTACATCGCTATTGAATATGCAGTGAGCAAGCTGGTTGTTACAGGTTATTGCTAATTTGAATTGCATTTTTTTTTATTCAGCTAAAACTTTACAACACCGTTATCGACGATGTTATCGCTGGCGTACGAGATGCATTCCTGGACGAGGGAGTCGACGAGCAGGTGTTGCAGGAGATGAAGCAAGTGTGGACAGCAAAACTGATGGCCAGCAAAGCAGTCGAAACGACACCGGAACCTTCAGAACAGCACCCACCGTCTATTCTGGCCAACAGTACTAAGGTAAGACAGATCGGTTCTTTTGCGATATTTTGATTGTAATTGTTTTGTGCCTAATTTCTTAGTCGAATTCTTAAATGGGAAACAAGTGACTGTTATGCTAGGCAAATTTATAGATTGTTTTTAAATGCTGGGATTAAATCACGACGATGACCATGCTATTTCATGCAAAATGCCGAAGTAAATTTTATTTCAATTCACCCTTGCTACTAGCATAGCTGGATATTTATTTAGGTGACAAACTATAATTTTTGCGCCCCCTCCCTCTGCTCTTTAATTTTACGATGCTCTCATCACATTCCATAGGGGTAGCGTAAAAGAAAAAGAGATATCGCAACGTATTCTCTCTATCATACCTGTTTTCTCTTAAATGGAGTGGGAGTTGTTCCACCGACGATCTGACAAGACAGTTCATAGAAACCACATTCAAATTCAAATCTCTGTTCATATATTTTTCCTGGATTTCGTAAAACTTTGATAAAGTTCTTCAAACTTTCCTGGTGTTCTTAGAATTTCTTTCATGTTCGCAGAACGTCTCTGATTTGGGCATTTTTTCTCTGAAATTTCCACAATACTTTCCTAATGTTAAAGTTTGTCGAACTTTCCTCCCGTTTGAAGAACTTTTCTGATTTTAGAAGAACTTTCCTGGATTTTTTTTTTATTGTTATTATAGTCACTTTAACACTCTTGGGTCATTCGCGACTTGTCCGGGGGTGAGATTTGAACTCGTGACTTTGGCGTGAGAGGTATGGATGTTAACCACTACGCCGGGGTCGCCCCTTCCTTTCCTGGAGTTTGTAGATCTACATTTAAGTGCATATAATTTTGCTAGAATTCGCAAAACTATCTTGAAGTTCGTAGAATTTACCAGGAGGCCATTGAACTTCCCTGTAGCTCACAAAACGTCCCATCACAGAATTTCCTGACGTTTGTAGTACTTTTTCTTAAGTTTGTAGAACGTGGATAAAAGTTTGCATAATTTTCCTGTCACTGAAGTTCAATGAAGGTTGTTAAACTTCTCTGTTTTTCTGGAGTCTGCAAGAATTTCCTAGGGTTCACAGAACTGTATTGAAGTTCATTAAATTTCCCTTGACTTCGGAGATCTTTATCAACATCATCAAAGAAATGTCATGAAGTTCGTAGAACTTACATGTGTTCGTAGAAATGCTCTTAAGTTTGCAGAATGTCCTTGAAGTTTACAAAAATATTGAAGTTCGCAGAACGCCCCTCAGGTTTGCAGAACTTTACTGAAGTTCAGAACAACTTTTGCGCCCCTTAGAATTGTTTTGATGGCAAATACCACCTTCGCCACCAGTTGAGTACGGTGATGTCATCCATTGACGGCAATCGAATGTGCAGGAGGGCAGCTTCCACACCTGCATAGGATATCGCACCCATTCAACACACATGGGCCGGGACCAACGACTTTACTTCCCTTTCAAAGGAAGACGTGACCAGAGATTTGTATACCTCAGAAAAATCCCACCGTCCTCGGCTGGGAATCAACCCAGACCCATTACGGTGATAAAGGAGTTACGCTTACCACTACACCACCGGCGCCGGCCTCTGAATATTTGTAGTTCGTTTGAACCAGATTTTGACAGCTCATTTGGTTCAAAAAATTCTATCCGCTCATCTCTTCCTCTGAGTATTTATAGCCTTTAGAAACGTTTTATATGTTAAAATATTTTCAAAAACTACAATATGTATTTAGAATTATGTAATTATTGGATGGTATAAAGATTTTTTGTAAATTACAAGAAAAGGTTGAAAAGTATATGTTTGACACATACAACCTGTCAATTTCGCTTGCGCTGCTTGTATGTGTCAAAATCAGCAATTTTATGATTCTTGAGCGCGAAGGCAGTTGAAGCAACCCTGGGTGCAAATAAGAAATTTTTTATCAAAAATTGATGTTCTACGAGTTTGAAAATTTCAGAAAAAATAACCGTTTTAAATAAGCTTTAAAACTATTGAAAAATAACTCTTTTTTTATTCTACAATATTTTTTGTTAATTTTTTTTAATCAATGATAAAATCTAGTAGGCCCTGAATCAAATCAGGCATAACATTTGATAACGGCACAAAAGCATTTGTAAACAAACTTTCTAAGGCCCTTTACACGCGAACCAAAGTACGCCCACGCAAACCAATACCACTTTCGGAAAGGTGAACGTTGCCCCTATCCGATGATATTGTTGATTTGCGTGGGTGTACTTTGGATCGCGTGTAAAGCGCATTAGAAAGTTTGTTCACAGATGCTTTTGTGCCGTTATCAAATGTTATGCCTGAAATATATATTTTTCTGCGAACATGCTTATACCGGTGAAGGCAAAATTGTCCCATGTGTTTTTTGAGGTTTTAATGCTTAAAACGCCATAGTTTGACATGTACTTTTGGAATATTACATAAAAACACATGCTATTTATTGTAGAAAAAATCGAAAAAAAAATCGTAGTTCATCACAGCAAAAAAATAATTTTGATATCACATCAAAGTGGATGCACTACAATCATGTCGAAAATTTCATGTAATTTTTATGACCACATAAATAAACAAATGCAGTAAAAACAGCGTAATGTCAGTTCATGCATTGTATTAATGATAATTTTATCCTTTTTAGCAAGTAATATTACACCATTTTTTCGACATGATTGTAGTGCATCCACTTTGACGTGATATCAAAATTATGTTTTTGCTGTGATTTGTCCCACTGGAACAATTCAAAACATAGAATCGGTTAAGAGAATCGATCATCGTAGATATGATTCTGAAAGTCCATTGTTTAAATTGTTCCAGTCGGACAAATCGACCCACTTTTTTTCCCTTTTGTTATGTAACATGGGGCAGAAATCCAATTACCTACTAAAAATTTGCAGTAGAAATAATGCGTTTGATTTTTCTTGTTTCATGAAATGGTACTGCTGATGCTGTGTGAACATCATCGATCAACAACCTACAGTCGATGTCGAATTCAAAGGTAAATACAATATTGTGTATGATTGTTTGCATGATTTCCTATCTACCTGTATGCTGCCGTGAGATTACAAAGTGATGTAAACTAAAGCCCTGTAAACATTAGATCCGGGTCTGACGCGTTGCGGCAAAATGACAGCTAATTTTACTGTCTAACTGTCAAATTTACGTCAATACAACGCAACCGGATCTCTAATATGGATGGCCCTTAAGAGAGAGAAGCGAGAAGTCGTGTCTGCAGCCAATTGAACTGTCACATAAGTGCAGCCATTCTAGCAGAAGACCTGTCAGTGGGTAGAAAATAATTCTGATTAATGAAGTAATTAAACTGGGTTGTTAGCGGAATGCTTAAATAAAACAGTAGAAAAAGGTTATCTTTCATTTAATTCCAACTAGTTAATTTTGGTATCCATGTCATGGATACCAAAATTAATTAAGGGGAATTAAATGGAAGATAACCTTTTTTCTGTTTTATAAATTCTGATTAGATTGTAGTATTGCTATCACCCGAAAAATAAAAAAAATGGATATGATTAGCACTATGGATTGGTATGTTGTAAGGATATGAATAAAAACATATGAAAATAAATTAAGAATCATCGTTAACATATCTTCAGTAACGTTTGACCCCAAACTTCAATTCTTACCAATAACAACAATACACAACGAAAGCGGTAGATCATGCAAGGTGTGAACAACTTTTAGGGTTGCTAGTTCGTGTGAAAAAATATATTATACTAAGCTGAGTGCCCGGCCTTGCTCGGGATTCAATATAAGCTTGAGTGTATGCGCCAAATAAAAAAAAAGCATGCTATTTTGTACGTAGCCCCTCCCCCTTATCTAAGGGGCTACCCCCTATGAACATCTCCACATCTCCACAGGCCAAATTTGGTTCTATTGGGTTGATTAGTTCTCGAGTTTTGCAGAAATTTATTTTTCATTTGTATGGGACCCCCCCCCCCCCCTTACAGAGAGGGGGTATCGAACCACCATAAGAACCTTTCCCGGCCCCAAAAACCCCTGCATACCAATTTTCATGCCGATCGAATCAGTAGTTTCCGAGTCTATAAGGTTCAGACAGACAAACAGACAGAAATTCATTTTTATGTATATATCCTAGATAGATAATAGGGGAATTTACGTATTCTCGTCAATCTAAGCAGCGTCCGCACTGCTATTAGCATTTTCACAGCGTCACGTACATATATGACGTGTCTGTTTGTTTCAATTCATCTGCTGCTTGCTTCTCTATCCATTCCTATCGACAGAATTCTTTAAAACTGTTTGAAAGCGTTTTTACAACGCTCTAAACTTCTCAGGTGAGTGTGACTATTGTCGGCAGCCTCTTTTTCTTCGGCAACCTTCCCATTAGAACTGCGTGTTAACCAGCTGTTCTATTATCGGCAACTCGAAATCAGCCCCATTTTGTAGTACGTATTCTTCATTTGAAGAAAAATCTGGCATAACAGGATTGCTCGGTCCTACAAATATAATCAGATTGAAGCTGAAAGACTAAAGAATCGTTTGGATACATTCAGGGAAGTGTGTTGATCGTAAAACATAGTGAAATTAACGTTTAAATTTTGGTTGCCGAAAACAGTCAATGGGTGCCGAAGCCGACATTTACCCTATATAATATGTTTGTCTTCGCATTTCTCTCTCTGGTCAATTTACTCCAAATTCAAGGCCTTCGAGTACCATTTAAAGGAACGTATCTGCTTTTGTAAACAAAGATTCGAACGTCAATTTGTCGAAACTTTTAGCACTTCAACGTAAACTAACCACCATCAGACAGGGTAATATTTCCCCAACAAGATGGTGTTGCTAGTTTGCTGGAGAGTGCTAAGAGTTTCGACACATTAACGTTTGAATCTTTGTTTTACTAACACAAATGTTCCCTCCCGTGGCATCTATGAATGAAGGTAGTATGGGTTCCCTGCACCTTCTTAAGTAGCTGTTGGACTAATTTTCCTTCCTATCCCCTGCGATTGTAAGGATGTGACCAGGTGTTTAATGCGATGCGTGATTTGCAGATTTTGATGTGTGGGAAAAACCACTAGCCCCAAGTGATTTTTCACGGAAAAAACATGATATTTTCTGCAAAAAGTATTGGTTGACCATTACATAGACCCCACGATTTGTGCAATCGTTTATGCTATGCTATGCTATTGACGGTTGAATCTTTGTTTACAAGAGCAGATTCGTCCCTTTGAAAAAAGTAATCGAGATATGAGGAAAATATGTTTTGGAAAAATGTAGACAAATTGACGCAAGCCATACATTTTTGGATAAACAGTGTCCACAATATAAAAATGCCGGAAAATTAAATATTGTTTTAAACATGAAGGATCACATTTTTCCCTCCCCATGGACATGGAGGTTGACGGTTCTGAAGCAAAGGGTTATGTTTAATTTCTTTATATTTGAAACGATGATGTGTCACTATAGGAAATTAGTGACACATATCACCTTCTTAATGCTTTGGTATGCCTCAAACGATTAATTCTTGGTTGTTAATAGAACTTCCTTGATGAAATCGGCTGCTTCATGCAGACTGAGCAATTCTGATTATAGTATCAGATTTGTACTGTATACAGAGAAACTGGGAGGGCTCTTCTTGTGTCTAGCATGTGCAGAGTATCATTATAGCGTCTAATGGTTTTCAGATTCCTGGTTGCGTGAAATACATTTGTGAGAATACCTTTTTGAGATTTTAGTTGTCACGTTTTGTTTGTAGTTTATATTTTATTTATTTCATGCAATTATCGTAAATAATAGTCATTCAATAATAGATAATTCGTCCATATATTCAATAATAAATTTACGAATGACTATAATTTGGATACCATACAATTGGACAGACTCACTAGCAAGAATAGGTTGCGGAGTGTTCGCCTTCGAAAATATCGAAAGACATTAAATTGGAGGCGGATTCTGGTACGGAATTACAGGCTGCTATTTTGAGCAACTTATCGTCTTATAATTAAAAAAATACATTTAGGTATTAGTCAATAAATGTGGATAGTAAGTTAGATATGGTATGGTATGAACTTTTGCAACGTTTTTTTGTTTGGTTTTTTTTTTATTTTTTTTTTAGTTAATTATTCTTGAACGCAGTTAAAACTAGGAGATGAGGAAGAAATATAATCATTTTGTGCAAACACACACACACATATACACATAATGACATTAGACAAGAAAACATCCAGACATTAAAACTGACGTACGAATGAGAAGAAGACATAGACAAAGACTGACCAGCGATTATGATTAATCAAGATCGTGAATCTGGTGTTTAATTGGTCACCATAGACTAATCCGTCAGGCATCGTAATCACTTGAAACTTTTTCTCATCAGCCCCGATCATTTTATCCTATGGGGATAAAAAAGAAAGGATCACATTTTTAGCTTTGTTTTGATTATATTGAACAGATCACAGATCTAGCAATATTTTTACAAATTTTGATTGTAATTGCCAGGTTGGAAAAAAATATGTTTTTTGAGCAATTCACTAAATGAATTTATGTCACTTTATCATATCTTTATTTATCATACGTCACTCGTCTCACGGCACGGCAGTTTAGTACAGTTACGTATGGTATGAATTGTGATGGAACATTTTGTGATTGAATCTATGTTGTATGCAAGATTATTCACATTAAAGGGTGTAGTATATGATTTAATGGATTTAACCATGTTAACGTATTTGCCATCTTTTAGGCCAATGGTACCAAGAAAGCAAAGGCAGCGGCTGCTGCAGCTGCCGCAGCAGCTAACCAGGAAAATCAGAACGGAATTGCAAAGGCAAACGCAAACAGCTCTGCGGCCACTGCTGCATCTGCCCAGGTCAAACCAGAACCAGCAGCTGAAAGTCAGCCCAACCAACAAATGCAGCAACATCACCAGCAACAATTACAACCACCGCCTCTAGCTCAGACACAGCCTGTAGTTCCACAACCTGCTGCAGTGCAGCAACCAGCACCTCAGCCAGCACCCCCGGCGGCCGTTGTGGCAGCACTCGATCCCAACAAAATGGTAGCGATTCAAATCACTCTACCAGCACAACCAAATGTACCAAATTCGCAACCGAGAGTACTAACAATCCAAGTACCAGCATCTGCCCTGCAAGAGAATCAACTACAGCAAGTGCTCACTGGACCTATCATCACCTCAATCATGCCGCTACCGCCACAAATTGCCTCATCAGTACTCCAGCAGCATGTCAATTCATATCTGCAAAATAACACCATGAGTAAGTTTTACTACATTAGCCTGAAAAATTACTATTCTACAGCAGGTATTTCCCTCTTTACAGATACTATTCAAATTCACAAACAGATGGACGGTGCCTACGACATGTCGATGGATACGGATGCTGAAGAAAATGACCAAGTTCCCATCTTGGCTCTTTCCGAAGTGTTAGATCAACATTTGTTAAACAAAATGGCGCACAATGGGGCTGTCTCAGCATCGTCATCATTGTCATCCGTTGCAGCAGCAACAAGTTGTACAAAGAAGATGAAAAATCGTAGGAGAGGTGAGATTTAATTTTATAGAAAGAAATCTCGCGTAACATTTGAAAAGAACCTATGATCAATTTTTTTTTTTTTTTTTTTTTTTTTTTAATTATAGTCACTTTAACGCTCTTGGGTCATTCGTGACTTGTCCGGGGGTGAGATTTGAACTCGTGACTTTGGCGTGAGAGGTATGAATGCTAACCACTACGCCGGGGTCGCCCCCAAATGATCAAAATGTAAACAAAACAGAAAATTAATTCTAAATTGTTTCGCCAGTATTTTAATTCATATATAAGGAAATTGAATTTATTTTAGGAACGACAATAGTAACTGTATCTTAGTACACAACATCCAAATTATGCGAAAAAATTTAAATTTAATTTCAAAAACTAATAAGCCTTTTTGTGAATCTTTCAATGGTTAGGCCCTTTTTGTTAAGCCATTGTGCTTGTCATCAAGGCCCTTTGCTTAGCTTTTTCATAACTTCAAATAAATGCAAAACTAATCATCGGCCCAGCCTCAGCCGAGATGCAGCAGTAGGACCTAGCTTTGTTTATAAAAAATTCAACTTTCGGCCCTTCTACGTCACAAAACTTATTAATGGAACCTAATAGAACGAAAAAATATATGTTAGATCGTTTAAGCGTGTGTACCTATGAATGATACGAAAAAATTCGTTGATTGGCCGTTTTGAAAAGCAAGTTGATTTTTATCGATAATGTATACGATTGGTAGTTATTTACCGGTGCTATTAAAAAAAACTTACATTTTGGATACAGGTAATTTTCAAATGTTACACGATAAATGCCTTAACTCAAGAGAATGGGGGTGTGGGCCTCTAGTGATTTTGGTACGATTTTGGCAGATGGTATTAATTCGTCGGTGGTATTAATCTCAATGCAAGTCTGTATTTGTACGAATCTACCTACCCCGTTTCATTACATTAGGCAAACCATCCCCCTATTCTGCGAGTAACGTGACCGGTGAGGTGACAATTGTCACCTCGTGTGAGATGTGACTCTCCATTTGATTTGCACGGAGAGTTACCTCACACGAGGTGACAATTGTCAGTTCACCGGTAACAGAGAGTCACGTGACTCGCAGAATAAGGCGGCATCATTTGGGGTTGCATTGAACCTATTGATTTTGACAAACAGATAAATTAATAAATGTACTAGGTAGTTGATCCATATTGCCCCATCTTTCCCTATGTCTATTACCCTACACTCAAAATAATCGACACGTTATTGCTACGTGAAAAATCACGCGGAGTCTCTCTTTTCACTTTTATGTTAAATTTACGTGACACAAGTAGAGTCTAGGTGATACCCCATATGTATCAACGGGAAATCCCTTTATCAGGCCTATTCTGCGCGGCGTGTGAGGTGAGGTGACACGCTCTCACTTGTGAAGTGACAATTGTCACCTCGGGTGAGGTGACTCTCCGTGCAAATCAAATGGAGAGTCACCTCACCCGAGGTGACAATTGTCACTTCACCATCACTTCACTGTCACTTCACCTCACACGCCGCGCAGAATAGCCCTGTATATTCACTAGGTTTTTTAATCGAACGCACGTGATTTGAATATATACAAATTCTATGTGCATTTCACGTAAACCCTAAATGATTTTCACATATGAAAAAAAATGCCTCACTCATAATGGTACACGATGGAATTGCAAGTTGCATGTTTACATGCCAGTTAAAATCTTGGGGCTTATTTTCGTGAGACAATTTCGTGTTGTATAATGGCTGAATATTTTATCACAGACAAATTGTATGGTGAGAATAATTTGTAACATATTTCTTTGTTTTAGTCTGATGACTAGATTGAAATGCGAATTAAATGCCCTTGTATCATATGTGTCCCATTCCCGAGTCCAGTTTCGCTCGAATACATTTCTTCTTCTGTGTGTTATATCTGCCACAATAAAAATACAATGGTCAAGAAAAATACTGTAGGATCTTTTTTCATTTCAAATAAATAAAAAAAATAATTTAAACCGGAATAAAAATCATTGAAACCCACTATGAATTCCATCGAAAGAATCACACAGCTTCAACGTGATAATCCCGTGACCATCTCACTCACTGAAATGAGTGCTTTCATATGAGAATCAAGTAACACTTACGTGAAACGTTCGATGGAAAAAATCACTCTACCATAACATTCCATACCGCGAACAGTGAGATTTACGTCACTGCTAATAGCTGTTTCGTGTAAAAATATAAACCACTAAACATTTGCACATTTCACTAACATAAGCCAGTTGGCCCGGACCTTATATAGATCTGATGCACTACACCGAAAATAGTTTTCATGTAGTGATTTTCATCCTTAATCAAAATTAATAGAATTCATCAGAAATTCACAAAACATTTATGCGATCACATGATTTTTTCAAATGAATTCCATCGGCCTCATAATATTCATGTGATTTTGTGGTGGGATTTACAGCTATGTGATCACAGAAAAGCTATGTGAAATTTCATCCATTAGATATGTGATAACTGTTTTGAGTGTACCACACTCAAAGAATAAAGCACATATCCAATGGAAAATATTCATTAGAATTTCACATAACTTTCATGTGATATCATAATTGGGAATTGCACCACAAAATCACATGAACCTCAAATGAAATTTATGTGATTTATCATATAGAACTCATGTGATCACATGAACGTTATGTGAAATTCAGATAGATATAATTGGCAGGGCTATCTTGCATCAACGTAGAGAGAGCAATGTCACTGATGAAAAATATTGTATTACTATCTTCGTCGCACTCCAAGCAGCGCATGACAAATTCCGTATGAAGACAGTCCTCTTTCATTTACGTCGTGAAAAAAAACTAGCTCAGTACGTTCTCTCTCTCTTAGATCGGTCGGTTACTCGGAGAGGATTAAAAACTGCACGTTTTAGTCAGCCTTTCCGTATTGTTTGACAAAAAATGATGATCGTTGGAAGCAACACAAAAAAGTTAAAATGGGTACACAACGGATCCGAACCACCAACGTTGAGATTAACAGGCTTGTATCTTCACCACTGGTCTATCAGCGCTTAGGAGAATAGAAAGGCTAAAGGAAAACAAGAAGCGCTTATAGTGTGGTTACTAGTCTGCTCACATGCACGTTCGACGGTATTTGTATTTTTTTTTGTCCATGCATGATACAAAAAAGAGAAGTGAGGGTAAAAGATGCGATAGGATTTGTTCACAGGGATTACTGTCGGCTTCTCTTCGTCAATGACAAAGGATGTATGGAAATGATGGTTTTTGTACCGCGACAATCTATTTTTGGTTTTCGTCAAACGTCACTGACCAAACTGACCGTTACCAACTCTGATCATTGGTTTTGTTAATGGAGAAATATTATGTACATTCCCAATGGAAACTACATGAAAACTTTTTTCCGTGCACAGTTATTGGACCGAGGGGTGCTTCAATCGGCACAATAAATTTAATTCATAAAATTAGACCAAAATATACTCGAAAATATACATCTCCTCCAAATTTGGTACAAATCGAAAAAGGTCGGGTTGTATTTTTTCTCGCTCACTTGGCGCGGAATGACCCATAGTTAACTCTTTGCTTTTTCCTACATCTCGCAAGGGACAGAAACTTCCTGTTCCAGGGCTGTTACAACAGGCGCGGATTTCGCGAATTTCGCGGACTTTCAGTCGCGAAAATCGCGGAAACATTAAATGATGTCGCGAAAATCGCGAAGGGACTAATGTGCTGTCACAAAAATTGTGGAATTCATTGTAACCTTTCCGTCCCGGATTATTTTCCTCGCATCAATTTTGTTGTTCATTTGGCTCTCAATTTTTTACTGGTTCAAACCAAACACCCTGCAAATAATCGAGAAATGATCTCATACCGGATTTACACGGAAATTCTCTGGGGTCTGTCCAATATGAACATAGCATTTTTCGTTGCCAAATCATAAACGAATCGTATATATGCGAGTAATTGCCATGTAAAGGGTGATACGGTCAAAATTTGGTCAATATCAACTTGACGTATTTCTTTCAATTTTGCATTTAAAAAACCTGAACACCCCTCATTTTGAAGGTGTGTGTGTGTGTAGAATGTTGCTCCTATTTTGATTTTGGAATTCACTTTTCAGTTGTCAAAATGCCGTCCAAGCAAGAAGAGCAGCGTATCAAAATTTTGCTCGCGCATCGCGAAAATCCGAGCTACTCGCACGCAAAGTTGGCAAAATCGCTAAAAGCTGCCAAATCAACCGTTACAAATGTAATTAAAGTGTTTGGGGAACGTTTGTCGACAGCCAGGAAGTCTGGATCGGGGGGAAATCGAAAACCGGAAGCCGCTGAGGCGACAAAGAGAGTTGCCGGTAGTTTCAAGCGAAACCCTAACCTCTCTCCGAGATGCCGCAAATAAGCTGGGTGTATCGTCTACAACCGTGCATCGAGCCAAAAAACGAGCCGGACTATCGACTTACAAGAAGGTAGTGACTCCAAATCGCGATGATAAACAAAATACGACGGCCAAAGCGCTATCCCGGAGGCTGTACACGACGATGCTGACGAAGTTTGACTGCGTGGTAATGGACGACGAAACCTACGTCAAAGCCGACTACAAGCAGCTTCCGGGACAGGAGTTTTATACGGCAAAAGGAAGGGGAAAGGTAGCAGATGTTTTCAAGCACATGAAACTGTCAAAGTTCGCAAAGAAATATCTGGTTTGGCTAGCCATCTGTACCTGTGGCTTGAAAAGCAGCATTTTCATAGCTTCCGGGACTGTCAACCAAGAAATTTACGTGAAAGAGTGTTTGAATAAACGTCTGCTGCCTTTCCTGAAGAAACACGGTTGTTCCGTACTGTTTTGGCCGGATTTGGCATCTTGCCATTACGGTAAAAAGGCCATGGAGTGGTACGCCGCCAACAACGTGCAGGTGGTTCCCAAGGACAAGAACCCTCCCAACACGCCAGAGCTCCGCCCAATTGAGAAATACTGGGCTATTGTCAAGCGGAACCTAAAGAAGACCAAAAA